TCCGGGTCTCGCGCTGACCCCGGCTCGTCCTCACCCGACTTCGGTGGCGGCGCCCGGAGCGCGTCCCCAGCTGCGGCCGCGCCCGCCCGCGCTCCCTGCGCTGGCTCCCGGCTGCCGTCGGGACTCCCCGCTCCCTTTCTCGCTGCATCTTTAATCTGTGTGACAGCGTGGCCGCTTCCGCTCTCTTTTGATCGGTTTTAGCTTGGCCCGTTTTCCGCCATCCTTGACCTTTAACCTAGCTGTGCCCTTTTATTGATTGATTTTTGACTTGTAGCGTATCAGTCCACGTGTGTAGTGCACAATGTCTACATCCCCGCGGGAATTCCGTTTTCTGCCCCTTCTGTGGTGCGCGTTGCAGAACACGAGGCTCGCGTGCCTCGCGGGGGTCGACTGTGCTCCCGACACATCCCGCCTGCGTCCTTTCCCTCCCGTGTCCCTTCATCGTTGACAAAGGCCTGCTTCCCCTCCTTCCATCGTCTACCTTTTATTTTGGGCTATTTCTCTTTTTTTTGGTCTTTTTGAGATAGGGTCTCGCTGTGCAGTTCAGGCTGGTCTTCAGCTCACTTTGTAGCCCAGGCTGGCTTCGAACTTGCAACGATCCTCCTGCCTCAGCCTCCCGAGTGCAGGGATTACAGGCGTGCGCCACCACACCCGGCTATTTTGGGCTGTTTCTGCTCTGGGTTTCTTGTATAGGAGAAGGCATGCTTATGTGCCTCGTTTGTTTCACTTAGCATTATGGTCTCCAGGTGCACCCACTTTCCTACGAATGACTCAGTTTGTCCTTCTTCATGCAGAGTAGTGCTCCAGGGTGTGTAAAGACCGCATTTTCTTTATCCAGTCTTCTGTTGATGGACAGATGCTCGTTCGGAGAGTCACCTGTGATGAACTGCGCTGCTATAAACACGGGCATGTGCAAATCGCTGTAATATGATACCCTTAATTCTTTTGGGAAGACACCTATAAGGAGAATGGCTGGGTCAAGTGGGATTTCTAGTTTTAGTTTTTTGAGGACTCTCCATGCTGCTTTCTATAGCGGTTAAAGTAGTTTACATTCCCACCAGCGGTGGAGAAGCGTTCCTTTTCCCCCTGCAGCCTCACCAGCACTTGTTATTATTTGATTTTTTTTTTTTTTTTTTCCGGTACCAGGAATCAAACTCACGATTGCCAGGCAGGTGCTGTGCCGCTGAGCTAAATCCCCAGCCCAATTATTTGATTTCTTGATGATGGTCATTCTGTCTGGGAGTTTTCTGGTCATTCGTACTTCTTCTGAAAAGTGTCTATTCATTTCACTTGCCTATTTTTTGATTGGGTCTTTTATGGGGGGGGGTCTGATTTTTTGAGTTCCTTAGGTAGATAGTAGTCCTCTGTCTGAAGAGTAGCTGGCAACATTTTCCCCATTCTATAGGTTGTGTCTTCACTCTGTTAGTTGTTTCTGTTGGTGTTCAGAAGATTTTTAACTTGATGTGATCCCATTTGTTGATTCTTAGAACGATTTCCTGTGTAGCTGGGGTTCTGTTCAGAAAGTCCTTGCCCGTGCTGCTGGCTTCAAGAGTTTTACCTGTCTTGTCTTCCAGCAAGTTAAGTGTTTCTGGTTTGTGTGCCCTTTTATTTATTTAAAGTGGGTTTCTTGTAGGCAGCATATTGGTAGCTCTTGCATTAAAAATTCCTGACAGTTTCTGCATTGGGGGCTGACTGTGGACGTGGGTGGTCTTAAATCTACCATCTCACTATTTGCTTCGCACTGTGCCATCTGTACTTTTGTCCAGAACATGAAGTCTTGATTCCTCTCACAGAGTGTCTAGGTTACTTTTCTCTTGTTGCTGAGACAAACTACCTGACACCCAAAATGAAGGAAGAAAGGTTTATGTAGCTCATGGTTCAAGGAAGTTTCCATCCATACTCGGCTGGCTCCAAGGCAGAGTGGCACATGGCAGAGGGCAAAGTTCATGGTGGCAGAAAACAGCAAAAACAGCAAGAGCAAAAGGGAGTGGCAGCAAGCAGCCTCTTTCTCTCTCTTACATATGCAAATTATCCACCCCATAGTACTCACACCCATAATCCCTGCATTGGATCATGGATCAATCATAAACTCTTTTTTTTTTCCGGTACCGGGAACTGAACTCACAACCTTGCGCTTGCCAGGCAGGTGCTGTGCTGCTGAGCTAAATCCCCAGCCCCCAGTCATAAACTCTTGAAGCCCATCCTATGACTGCATGAGGCTTTGGCGGGGACATCCAGACACAAACCATAACATTCCACCCCTGGCCCACCAAAGACTCATGTACATCCGTTTATGCAAAAGGCATTTTAAGAGTTGCTAAAATCCTAACAGTTTCAGCATTGCTGAAAAGTCCAAGTCCCAAGTCTCCTCTGAGAGGTGTAAGGCAAACTCTCAGCTGTGAGCCTCTGTACAAACGAAAAGTTAAACACTTCCAACATTCAATGGCACAAGGTAAACATTACCATTCCAAAAGGTACAAATGGGGATACAGAGCATGGGGACCAAAGCAAGTCCAAAATCCAGCAGGGCTAACGTTATGTCCTACAATTCCACATCCAGCATCTGAAGCAATCTGTGGCACATCGTGAGCGCCTGAGGGCTTGAGGACTCCACGCCTATGGCACTTCTGGTGGTTACAGCTTCCATTGGCTTCTCTCTTAGACCCGCTTTGCTCCCTCCTTGCAGCTTTCCTCAGACAATCCACGTTCCTGGCTTTTCCAAACTTCTGAGGTCTCCACTGCACCTTTTGCTTCACACTCACAGCTTCACACAGAGCTTCCTTTCCACTCAACGCTGCCAGTCTGTATGACGGCACTTGGGCCGAAGTCTTGTGTCACCGTTGATGCCTCTCCTTCCCTTTCCTCCCCTCTACTCTCTTCCCTTCTCCTTCCTTCTCCAGTGCTGGGGCTCAACTCCAGGGAGTGCTGAGCTACATCCTGTCAGGCTAGTCCCTGAGTAGCAACCGACACCACCAGGACAGGCAGGACTGAAGCAAAGAGTGATATATTTATTTCAGGCTCGGTGCAGCCTGGCCAAGGCCGAAAAAGCCGTTGGCCCCAAACAAACAAAGGGGGCCTACTTTATAGATTATATTTTAGGTATGGGAGAAGGAAGTTCCATGAGGAAGGTGGAAAATTTAAGTTTCTCAGGGGTGATTGTGGGGTCTGGTGCCTCTGGGGGAGGGCAGTGCGGGAGGACATCGGCATGTTGCTGATTTACAGCGTGGCACTCTGTGGACTTACGAGGTTTCCTGTGAGCCTGAGAACTAGCCTGGGAGCCAACCTGATAAACAGATGTACTTTAGTCTCTCAAGGTGAGTGAGGGGCTCCCCATTTGAGCAGACTGGTTGTGGAGTTTCTCTCTTCAAGTTGGGTGGGGTACAATGTGAGGGACTTAACACATCTCCAGTCTATTATTATTATCGTTGTTGTTGTTCAGAGGCAGGGTCTCACTTATTTGCTAGGTTGTTGTACTTAAACTTGTGATTCATCTGGCTTTGCCTCCCAAGCAGCTGCAGTTGGAGGCCAGCACCCCCCGCTCTTTCTCCTCCACTTCTTGTCTGATCCAACATGGACCCTGCTGCCCTTTGGGACCTCCCTGCCACTCCGTCCTGCCCCCGCTCAGCTGCCACAACAGACACAAGCCATACCAGTGCGCCCCAAGGCAGCATGCGCTCATCGTTGGAGCTTTTGGGAGGTGACTGGGCCCTGGGCATGTGACGCTGGATGAGCCCACTGAAGGGTTTAGTCGCGTGTGCTGCTGGGAGGTACTGGTGGCGGGAACAGGTGGCTCACTGTGGCCATGGCCTGGAAGGGTGTAGCTGTGCCCTTCCTCCTCCCTCGGTGCTGAGTCCCACTGCCCACCATGAGCACTTTCTCCTCTGTGCTGTCCCCCTGCCGTTCCGCCCTGCCTTGGAGCCAGCCAAGTATGAAGTGAAACTCTGTGAAGTGAGCACGTCCTCCTTTAGTGGTGGATGCTGGCTATTTTGTCGCAGCAATGAAGAGCAACTATGACAGTCTCGTGCACACTGAGATGGCAGCACGGTGCATGCCATGATTTCCTCAGGACTCGGAGAGGAGGCAGTGCAAGAACAAAGCTCTCGACGTGTCACTGGATGGGCTTCTGGAGATCTGGGAGCGTGCTTATATTGGAATGAATTGTCTTGCCCCAGACATGCTGAAGGTCTGTACATGAAGCCTCGTTGGGAAATAAAACGTGGATGAAATCGAGTCGAGAGCACTCTGCATTAGGACGAGCCCAAAGTCCAGTCTCAGGGGTCTGTGCAAGGAGAGGGAAGTCTGGACCCGGACATGCAAATGCACTCGGTGCCAGGAGACAGAGATGGGGAGATGCAGCCAACAAGCCAGGGGGCGTCAGGTGGCCCGGTGCGAGGAGCCTGGCATGGACCAGGTTCTGCCTCGGGTCCAAACGCACCACCCCTGGCAGTCCCTGGACTCCGGGCTTCTGGACTGCAGGCAGGGCGAGGCTGGGCCCTGACCTGAGGCCTACAGTCATGGTCCTTTGCTATGATGGCCCTAGGAAAGTAGGGAGCGCTGTTCCAAGAGTGTCACCTCACTCCGAGTCTGCGCCGTGGAAGCTGTGAGGAGCTTCAAGATTATGTGGTGGGAGAAGATGAGGCTCCCTCTGCCAGGAAATGAGGTTATCTGTGACTTCCTGTGGCTGTGGGATAGGCCACTCCATTTCCAGACAGATTAACGTGGCCGGGTGTGGTGGCGCACGCCTGTAAGCCCAGCACTTGGGAGGCTGAGGCAGGAGGATCGTTGTGAATTCGAGACCAGCCTGGGCTACAAAGTGAGCTCAAGGCCAGCCTGAGCCGCAGAGCGAGACCCTGTCTCAAGCAAAACAAAACAACAAACAAACAAACAAACACCAGACAGATTCACGTGACAAAGTTGCCCGGTGCGGTGGCACTCACCTATAATCCCAGCCTGTGCCATTGTGGGGCGGGGCTGGGTCAGAACCGGGGCTGGCATCGGAAATGCAGCAAGGGGAGCTGCGGGCGCCTAGGCTGTGAGCCCGCGTCCCCCGCCCGCGCCCCTGACTCCTCAGCCTCGTCCTCGCCAGGTGTGGAGGGGCCGTGCTGACGCCTGCCGGCCGAGCCCGGAACTGCAGGGCTCCAAGCATCCCGGTGCCCTGTGCCCGTCGGTCTGCACCCCGCCCCCTCCAGACACGTTCCAGTGTCAGAGCTGTGACTCAGGTAACACACATTTTGCTTCACGATGGCCCCAAGTGCAAGCTGGCAGTGCCGCAAGGCAGAGCTGTCAAAGAGGAGCCTGACTGTGCCGCCTTTGAGGGAGCAGCAAGAGCTCTCAACACGTAAGCAGAGAGAATATACGCTGACTGCTAACACCGACGGTAGAGTGTCAGCCTCTTACACTGCCCAGTTTCAGCTTGGGCTTCATCACATGCAAGTAGAGCCATAAACATCATCTGTACAGGGCTCGGCATTATCTGTGCATTCAAGGAGCAAGGGGGTCTTGGAAAGCCTCCTCCGTGGATAAGGGGACCCTGTCGTGATTCCTTTATTTTTGTTTTGTTTTGGTTTGGTTTTTTGAGACAGAGTCCCATTATGTAGCCCGGGCTGGCCTTGAACTTGCCCAGATCCTCCTGCCTCAGCCTCCCTAGTGCTGGGATTACACGTGCGTGCCACCCCCTCCAGCTACTGCTGTGATTCCCTAAGCTCTTCCTTCCCAGAAAGCGGGGCAACAGACTCTCCTTCGTGTGCCTCAGAGCGAAGCCCTCGAGGAAAGCCCAGAAGGACCCAAGTCGCTAGGCCACATGTCTATCTGAAAGTCTGCTGGGAAGGTTAAAAATAGAAGCACTCATTTGAAGAAAAACCTTCCTACTTCACTCTGAAGCACACACACCATTTACAGGGGCAGCTGGACATCGCCAGCGGCACGGGCTGCATCTGGAGTGGCACAGGGCGCAGTGTCCTGCTGGACTGTGACCCAGCTGTGCCTCGGGCAGTGGTGCCCCGCCCATGGCAAAGCTGTCACACTCCAAACGGTCACTGGGGTCAAACCCGACAACATGGAGCGGGCGGGGCCAGGACGGGAGGGCCACTAGCCAGTGCAGGCAACCCAAGTGCCCTAGCCTGGCACAGGGCTGCTTGGTATGGAGAGCTGTCTCTGAAGATGCCAGCCCGGCAGCTGCTGCCTCTGCACGGTCCTGCCTGCTGGTGTTCACCCTCCTGCAGGGCGGGGGGCTGTTTCCAGGTAATTTGCATTAAGTACCATTCTGCCTTTCCACCGTGGTCCTAGTCATTGCAAGGCTCCTGCTGGTCCCGTGGGGTCTGTGTATATTTAGAGGCTGACGGGGAATACAGGTACTGTTTTTTGGCAGGACAAAATGCTATTGCCCCCAAGGGTGAGAGGACACAAAGGGCCACCCAGAAAATCGCGTCACCCGTTCATTCACCCCAGCGGATGCCAGAGGCTTCCCCCACAAGCTGCCCATCAGCCCTTACTCTGTATCTTTATAGTAACATTTATTTATTTATCTTTAATTTTTTCTTGTTTGCACTAACACTGTCTATTTCAGTACCGAAGAATGAAACCAGGGCCTTCATCCTTAGCTACATTCCCAATGCATTTAGCTTTTCTGAGACAGAGTCTTGCTAAGTTTTCCAGGCAGGGCTGGAATTTGTGATCCTCCTGCCTCAGCCTCCCAGAGTGCTGGGATATAGGCCTGTGTCCCTGTGCCCCGCTGCTAGAACACTGCAGCGTTTCTGTTCCAAGCCGAACGGGCAGGGCACGGGGTCCCCTGTTTGGCCTCTCTGCACTCCGCTCCCCGTGTGAAGGCAGGGAGGCCCTGTGCCGTGGCACGGCGTCTGGCTAGTGGGGCAGCGCTGGAAACGGGCTGCGGAGGCCAGATGGGCTCGGAGGCTGTGGGCGGACAGGACCGCGGGACCCTCGCTGCAGGGCCTCCTCGCCTCCCGAGGCTGCGAGGAGAGCGCTGTGGCGGCGGGGTCTCCGGTGCTCGCAGCCTGCGGCTGGTGCCTGTGCAGCGCAGCGCCGCGCGGGGGAGACCAGCAGGAGCTGTCTGTGGATGTTTTCATTTCTTTTTCCTGCTGTGCGAGGATGGAGCCAGGGTCTCACGTCCGCTAGGCCAGCGCTCTACCCCGGAGCTGCGACCCAGCCCTATGAGGCCTCTTTATTCCTTACCTGTCTGTCACCGTCCATCCGTCTAGCCATCAGCTATCTGTATCCTTCAGGTGCTTCCTTCCCGGCGCTAACCTCACTCTGGGTCCCCCCCAGCTCTGCCTCGATCCTCTGCTACAAGCGAGACCGACCAAGGTGCCCGCCCTGTGCCGCGAGGGGACAGCGAGTCCCAGCGGCCCGCTGCTGCCGAGCCAGCGTGGCCGCCCGTCCCGCGCCTCCGCATGGCGGCGGCGCGCACCCGCGTGTGCGCGGATCCCGAAGCCCTGGCTGGGTGACTCGTCCTCCCTGAACTCAAGGCCTCCAAGGGGCAGTGATGTTTTCAAGTAGAGATTTCTGGGGAACAAGCGGAGGTATGGCTGCCGCTGCCGCAGGAGCCACGGGGTGCGGGCGCGAGGGGGTAAGAGCCTCCAGGCGGCAGGCGACAGTCTTTCAGATGGGGTTCCTGCAGGTTCTCCGGAAGCTGCTAAAAATGCAAGTGACATAGAAAAGCTCACAGAGCAGGTGATGCGGAACCCACAAGTCCTGGCAGCTTTACAGCAAGGACCTGACGATGTCTCTCACACTCCTTCCAGCTATACCCAAAGCAGTCAAGAGGAGAATTAGAGCCGGGTGTGGTGGCTCATGCCTATCATCCCAGCACTCGGGAGGCTGAGGCAGGAGGATCGTCGAGAGTTTTTTTTTTTTTCATTTTGAGACAGGGTCTCACTATGCAGTTCAAGCTAGTCTTGAACTCACTTTGTAGCCCAGGCTGGCCTCGAACTCACAGCAATCCTCCTGCCTCAGCCTCCCAAGTACTAGGATTACAGGTGTGTACCACCATGCCTGACTGTCGAGATTTTGAGACCAGCTTGGGCTACAAAGTGAGCTCAAGACCAGCCTGAACTGCATAATGAGACCTGTCTCAAAATGAAAAAAAAAAAAAAAAAAAAAAAAAAAAAAAAAGAAGTGATGCACTCAAGCAGCTTCAGGTGCAGTGTGCATACACAGAAGCCAAGTTCTATGAAGAGGTCCATGACCTGGAGAGAACGTATGCAGCACTGTATCAACCTCTGTTCCACACGAGAAGAGAATTCATCACTGGTGATGTGGAGCTCACAGATACAGAATCAGAATGGCACAGTGAAAATGCAGAGGAGGAGAATTTAGCTGGAGACGTGAAAAATAAAGTAGTCACAGCAGAAAAACAAGCAGCAGCCAAAGAGCTAAATCTCAAAGGAACCCCCGGGCTCTGGTTCACCATTTTTAGAAACGTGGATATGCCCAGTGAGCTAGTGCAAGATGATGAGCCAATCTTGAAACATCTGCAAGATATTAAAGTGAAATTTTCAGACCCTGGACAGCCTTTGTCTTCTATGTTAGAGTTCCCCTTTGAACCCAGTGACTACTTTACCAATCCAGTCCTGACAAAAACATACAAGATGGCTGGGCATGGTGGTGCACGCCTGTAATTCCAGCACTTGGGAGGCTGAGGCAGGAGGACCATTGCTAGTTTGAGACCAGCCTGGGCTACAAAGTGAGCTCAAGGCCAGCCTGAACTGCATAGCAAGACCCTGTCTCAAAAAGACAAAAAAAAAAAAAAAAAGGAAAAAGGGGGCCAATGATATAGCTCAGCAGCACAAGCACCTGTCTGGCAAGCGCAAGGTCCTGAGTTTGATTCCTGATACAGAAAAAAAATTTTAAACCTGGCCAAAAAAAAAAAAAAAAAAAAAAGGTAATACCAGCTGGGAGTAGTGGCATACACCTGTAATCCCAGCACTCGGGAGGCTGAGGCAGGAGGATTGCTGCAAGTTCGAGGCCAGCTACACAGTGAGCTCAAGGCCAACCTGAACTGCATAGTGAGACCCTGTCTCAAAAAAGACAAAAAAAACCAAACAAACCAAAAAACCATACAAGATGAAGTCAGAGCCAGACAAGGCCGACCCCTTTGCCTTTGAAGGTCCTGAAATTGTGGACCATGATGGGTGTACTGCTGACTGTAAGGAAGGAAAAAATGTTACAGTGAAAACCGTCAAAAGAAAACAGCAGCAGAAGGGTTGGGGCACCGTCAGAACCATTACTAAACAAGCTCCCAATAAGACATTTTTCAACTTTCTCAGCCCACTGAGAGCCTCTGAGGATGGGGAATCCCTGGATGAATGCGGAGGAGGACATTCTTTAGCTGCTCTTTCAATATATTACCGCCGGCCTGACCAAGCCATATGACTGTCTGGTTCCGGAGGAAGTCTAGCAAAAGCACTGGTGGAACGGAAATGACTGCGGAACCTGTGTCCCTGCGGAAAGCCTCGGGGACAACACTAGATGCTGTGCTGAGATATGCCCGAAGGAACGATAACATGATGGCTGGCTAAGTCATCTTATTTCTGTGCTAATTGAGTTGTCTCGTCCTTCTAAACCTGTTGCTATCCTCCCATTGGTCCAGCTGCTTCCTTTGTTCTTTCTCAATAAAAGGTTACTGAGATTGGTAATCAAGGTGGCAGCCTGAGAGGCTGCAAGCTCCCTGATCCCAGGATTTTGCCTCTTGTTTTTGTTTCTCTTGCTTTTCTTTTCATCTGAGGGCACCTCGTTCTCAGGACCCGTCACCCCTGACAGAAATGGATTATAGACCAACAGATGAAGATTTTGGGTACACACGAGCCTCAGATTTTGAAATCAGACACTTTTTCCATGAGTGGATAATGCTGAGGGCTGCACTCTGCTCCACTGGGGAGGCTGTAGAGAATGATGATGAATTTGAAGAAGGCGAGGAAGAAGAGGAGGAGTTGGAAGGTAATGAGGAGGCAGATGAGATGATGCTGAAATTAACCCCAAGAAAGAGCCCTGCCAGCTGGCGGGATGCAAGCAGCAGTGAGGAGCGGCCACCTCGGGGATGGCTGTCAGGACCCAGCTGGGGCAGGGCCTCAGGCCATGCTGCGGCACACGTGGACAGCGCTTATAACACCTAACACTTTTCCTTCCTATTCTGCTTGCACCCTGGCAACAGGTGTGCACTTCAGCAACAGGAGGTTTAGTTCTAGCACCCTCTGTGGCCTCGGTGCCTGCAGCCCTGGACCTGCCTAGGCTCTGCCCCTTAGAAGGTCCATACACCGCCTGGGTTGGGGGAGTCACTCCTGGAAAGGACGGAGGTCTGGCTCCGTTTCAGGGCTCCCGGAGCCTCTTCTGCGGCTGGCTGAGTCCCTCCCTTTGATTCAGAGAAACTCTATTTTCCACCGCTGATGCTACTGCTTGGAAGCTGCTTCAGCCATCATATCCCAGTCATCTCAGAAGAGCCGAGTGGAGTGAGGCCGGGTTTACTCAGAGCGTTTCTCCTTGTGTTTTAGTTTGCTAGGGGTTGGGTGGGCTGCAGCGCACACCGTCTCTGAGGCGGAGCTGTGGTGATATCCATGTACCTATTTATTCACTGTGTTTTCAGGACTTTTAACTTCGTTGCTCATCCGTACCATTGATGAAACCATATTGGTGACCTGACCAGGAGGGGCGTTGCGGTCCCCCAGCAGGACCATGGCCTGTGCTGCTTCCTGCAGCCAGCTGCTGAGGGCGGGAGCTTGTTCTGTGACATGCAGACCACATGTTGCTGTGGGAAGTTCCTTGGGGAGGGGAGGGGCGGCAGACTACAGCTTGTCAGTCCAGCGTGTGAACGTTACATCTTGCTTTCTTGGTAACTCCCATTTCTGGACTCCACCACTCATCCTATCCTGAGCCCTGGCTTTGGTGTGACTGGTTGGCGGCTGGTGTGTGGGGTTTTCGAGTATGTGGCAGTGATCTCTGGCACCTGGGGACGGCTGCGTCCACACTGACCAGCCTTGTAGAGTGCTCAGCCTTACCTGATAACACATTTGTGACTGAATATGGTGTTTTCAATTTGTACAAAATAGTTAGAATATTCTATTAAAGTTGTGAAATGTGAAAAAAAGATTTCTTCACTAAAATGCAAAAAGCAGAAGTCTTGTTTAAATTGCTTATTTCTTCAGCTTTAAAAAATTTATGGTAAAATACACGTCTGATTTACCATTTTAGCCTTACCTATTAATTACGTGACAGCTGGGTGTGGTGGCGCATGCCTGTCATCCCAGCACTCGGGAGGCTGAAGCAGGAGGATCTTTACGAGTTCGAGACCAGCCTGGGCTACAAAGTGAGCTCAAGGTCAGCCTGAACTGCATAGGGAGACCCTGTCTCAAAGAGACAAAAAAAGAAAAAAAAAAAAACACATGGTTTCTTCCACTCATCCAGGTGGCTTTTGCGCAGAACACAGACCACGACCACTCCTTGCTTTTGACCTTCCAGTCACCTGAGCACCGGGAACTTCTCACTAAGAGCATGTGTGGTTCTAGGCTATCGGGTTAATAACTTAAGTTACTGCAGGCTGATCAGGCCTGCAATCTCCCAAACAAGTGGACAGCAAAGGCTTAAACAAATGAGACAACTGAAATGATTTTAGGGCTCCAGGAAGGTCCACTCTCTTACAAAATTTAAGGTTCTCTGGGTTAAGACCTAAACTTCCTTGGGCAGCCCATATTTAAAGGAGGGGGATACTGAAGAAAATGCAGGAATCTGGGCAGGACTTGGGGATCCCTTTAAGGACTTCTCCAAGTAATACTTATGTTAATTTAGAACTGTTATCCCCAGGAAGGCTTTCACCGTGGCAGTGAGATGTCTGCAGCTATATTCTCCTTAGTTAATTGGGGTTGGAGCCAAAAGTCCTCGCTGTGGCCTTATCTTGTCCTTTGAGGCCTCACGGCTTCACCTACCGTTACAGGCCTCAGTAGGGACCAGTGATGCACACGTAAACATGGAAAGCCAATTGGTTAGTGTAAGTCCTGCTGAGTTGCTTCACAATGGTCTCCATCACTAGGCCGTGAAGGGGTGCTTCTCTATCCCTCCTACACAGCCCCCCAACACACCCGGTTGCACCTTCACCCCACGGGCCACCTGTGCAGCTGCCTGACCTGCGTGACAGTCTTGCAGCTCCAAAAGCTGAGCCCTGCACAACTTGGACAGAAGTGGGGCTGGGCAGAGCCAGGCTCCCCCAGCTGTGCCCGGGAGCAGCATCAAGGCGAGGCAGGAGCTGGGTGCCAGCAGCTGCCTGGGCAGCGGGGTCATTCCTCGGTTCCAAAGCAGGCTCAGGGGGATGCAAGGCAGGACACGTCGTGCGCATCAAGGTCAGACTGCGGACGCCAGCAGAGGTGATGGGGTACGGGACCAGACTGCCCACTCCCCTCAGATCGCTGAACGGCAGCCCGGATGGGCTGAGACCGAGGCCCTGCCGCTCTGTGGGCTGGACACTTGAAGCGGAAATGAGGTAGAGGCACCTCTGAGAAGGGGAAAGCAAGCTTCCGGTGGGACTGGACAGCCTGCAACCCTCCTCCCTCCAGGATGCCTCTGGGGTCCGACTGCCTCCCCTCTCTGCACGGCCTCCGCTGAGGTTCGGGTCGCCTCCACCTAAGTGAGCGATGGCAGCTGTCCACTCACTGGGCTCAGCGCTTCCGGCTGACAGCAGCACACGGTGCCCCCGCTACCAAGGAGGCTGACCACGTTCGTCCGAGAACCCTGCACCGGCCTTGAGTTCCTGAGTCCTCTGGTGACCACCTGCTGGCATCTCCCACGCTCATTCCACTGCAGGTCTCTCCCTGTCCAGGGCTCTGGGCACCTGCCGCGTCCCCTGCCTGCAGTACTGTCCCTCACTCCTTCCTTCTTCGTTCAGTACTGGTGATTTTTTTTTTCTTTTTGAGACAGGATCTCGCTACGCAGTTCAGGCTGGCCTTGAGCTCACTTTGTAGCCCAGGCTGGTCTCGAACTCGCACCGATCCTCCTGCCTCAGCCTCCTGAGTGCTGGGATAACAGGCGCCACCACGCCCGGTGCCAGTACTGGGGATCGAACCTAGGATCTCGAGCTTGCGAGGCAGGCTAGGCAGGCACTCTACGGCGGAGCTCCGTCCCACCCTCCCTCACCCCTTCAAAGCTGCCTTGTAGTAAGGCGGTACAGAAATGTCACCTGCCCCTAGTCCCTTGCTACAGGTCCCTAGGTTTAGTTTTTGCCCTTAGCACTGCTCCAAGGTATTACAGGGGCTTTGTTGTTTTTCGTGGCACTGCAGACGGAAACAGGGCCTTGCGAAGCCCAGGCGAGCGGCCTTCCACTGCGCTGCCGCCCCGGGCAAGGGCGCGTTTATAGATCTCGCCTCTCGGCTCCAGACGCTAGGCAGGCTCTGTGAAGGCAAGGATCCCTGCCCTCCTAGCTAAGGCGGGCAGCGCTTCTCTTTGGGCCCCGGCCCCTCTCTCCCCTCCTGCTTCCTCTCCGCGGCACCTCTTTGCTGGCCCTGGCCCTGGCGCCAGGAGCTTAGGACGCCCGGCAGCGCTGCCGCGGAAGACCGCAGCCCGCGGAGCACAGGGTCGGCTGTCCAGGGCCAGCACAGCTCGGGCAGGAAACGGGTTCGCTGTGCCCGGAGGGCGCCGCCCTGGCTTCCCGAGGCAGGGCTCCCGGGCAGGGGGACCCCACCCCGAGTCAGCGTTTCTACCCCGACGGGGTGGGACGCCGCGCGGCGCATTCCTCGGCAGCGCCCGAGCCGCCCCGGCCTCCCTCTGGAGCACCGCGACTCCTCCAAAGTCGGGTTTCTCCCCGAACCACCGGCTTCAGCACGGACCCGGGTCTGCGCTGTCACATGACCCGCAGCCGGGCCACGTGCCCCCTCGAACCAATCCCCACGGCTGGCAAGAAGAGGCGTCGCGATTGGTGCACTCCCGCCAGGAGGACGCAGACTCTGAGAGGGGAACGCGCCTTCGCCCCGAGATTCCCGTGCGTCCCACTCTCTCGCGATACTCGAGTGAGAGTCGGTGCCTCTGAGCTCCACAATGCACCGGGCGGGGGTGGAGCGCTCCGAAATTGGCTGGGCGCGCCCCTTACGTCATCTTTCTGAGCCCGCGCAGGGTTTGGGCCCCTTGGTATCTGGGGTGTTGTGTTTGGCTCCCAGTTTTCTGGGGAGTCGGACAAATTTCCTAACCTGAGTCCCGGTTATTTCCCGTCGTTGCCTTCTTCTGCATCTGAGTCCTCTTCTTCAAGCCGCGGCTCCTGGTAGCCCGGCCTGGCTTCGGGCGTCCCAACGGGACGAGGCGTACGGAAGCCGGGCGGGAGCGCCCCCCGGTTGCGCGCAGCGTGGGGGCCGCGTGGGCTCCCGTGCTCGGGCTGTGGGCGGGGTGTGCGCGTGTCCATCCCGGGCCCTGCGCTGAGGACCCGCATGGCCGCGCTTGGGCGGCCCGGCCCGGCCAGGTGCTTGCACCGCGGAAACAGATACGCTAAATTCATATTCTCTACACGTCTCGATCTTTTCCTACAAGAATACTAGCGGCTTCCTGCGCAGAACCTTGTTGTTTTCCTTTTTTTCTTCCTGCTGTGGGTTGAACGTAGGGCCTCCCACATGCTAGGCACGTGCTGTACGACTGAGCTACAGCCCCAGCCTATTAACACACCTTTTTTGAGACCGAGCCTTGGTCAGTTCCCCAGGCTGCCTTGACCTCGGGATCCTCCTGCCTCAGGCTCCTGCGTAGCTAGGGTTGCGGGTGTGTGCCGCTGTGCCTGTCTACGCACTTGCTCCGATTCCTCCGACGGAGATCGTGCGTCTCTGAGCGTGTTTCTCCTTACTACTTAGCAGACGCTGACGGTGAGCACAGCGTCGGACTCCGATGAAGATGGTGAAAAGATAGTCGAGGCACTGTTTCCGCAGAGCTCACGGCCTAGCGGGGGAGGCAGGCTGGCGATGAGGCAGAAGCCACAAGCACTACTGCAGGATCCTGGTTTGAGACTCTTAAGATGAGCAGCCAGGAGCCAGGTTAGCGCAAGTAGTGCTGGAGGGCTCACGGGTGAGGTGGAGCCTGTGACGGAGAAGAGCCGCCCCCCATTCCTCCCACCCCTCGGGAGGACGGCAGAAGAGGACACAAGGCCTGTGCCGGGATGGGTTGCCACGTGGGGTTGTGGACTGAGAAGATGCGTGTTTTTGGAAGATCTCTCAGGCTGGCACGGTCCTGTCCGGTGCAAGAAAAAGAGTGGAGTAAAATACTGAAGGTGTTTGGGCTTTTCTGGGCCCACTTTGCCTTTTGGTGAAGGGTGGGAACGGCAGTCACCTTTAAGGTCTTTGTATCTCTGATTTAAATTTAGTAACACTTCACGTAGGTGAGAATGTGCACGTGGTTAAACTGTCCGCGTATTACAGAGGCAACACCTGAGGCCCTCGAGCGGGCTGCCCTGCCCAAGGTCGGACAGGCAAAGGCCTGAATCTGTGAGCTGACAATCTTAAGGCTGGGTGAGGTGCCATACAGCTGTAACCCCAGCTATTCAAGAGGCTTGAATCTCAAGTTCAAGGCCAGCCTGGGCAGCTTAGATCCAGCTCAGTAAGAAAGATGAGCATAGCGGGGAGACACGAGCAAGTGGGAGAAGGGAGGAACTCCATATAGTCACTGGAGAGAAAGATGGCCAGGGAGAATGAGGCCTGGAACCTGCCCATGTCAGGATAGTATTTATGACTTACTGAGCTGGATCTAAGTTGCCCAGGCTGGCCTTGAACTTGGAATTCAAGCCTCTTGAATAGCTGGGGTTACAGCTGTATGGCACCTCACCCAGCTTTAAGATTGCCAGTTTACAGATTCAGGCCTTTGCCTGGCTGTGTGACCTTGGGCAGGGCAGCCCGCTCGAGGGTCTCAGGTGTTGCCTCTGTAATATGTGGACAGTAGTAATAACGCTAAGTGATGCTGTCTTTGGATTTTAGGGGATACCAGAGTCAGGGAACAGCCCTGGAAATAAAAACAGGCATTTGCTTAAATAATCTCCAGAAAAATACACAAACTGGTTCTGCCTCTGCAATGAGGCTGGCTGGTATCAGTGTTGGGGGAACTACAGGATTAGAAGAAAAATACTTTTTAGCTGGCCGTGGTGGCTCACACCTGTAATCCCAGTACTCAGGAGGCTGAGGCAGGAGGATTGCTGTGAGTTTGAGACCAGCCTCTGCTACAAAGTGAGTTCAAGGCCAGCCTGAAGTGTATAGTGAAACCCTGTCTCAGACAAAACAAAAAAACTCTTTAAATTGGTTGTTCTTTTAAAATTTTGAGCAACATGGTAAGCCAGAGAAAGCTGTCAGGCCTTCCTACTGTTACAGTGGTCACAACTGGCCACATGTGAGCTTGCACTGTGAGCGCATATAGTTTCAGTGCATTCTCCATTTGAAAAAACTTCTAATAGGTGAAGCCATAAAACAGGCTAATCTGAAGCTTGCAGCTCAGTGAATTCTCATGTATGAGTAAATCCATAATGCATTTTCCCAGCAGATGAGAAATGTCCATAGTAACAGCTAATACACCATCATGTTCCAGGCACTGTTGAGACAGGGACCTCCATGGAGGGCAGTGGTGGGATGGAAAAATAAACCCTGGGACACATGGCCTGCATTTCCCTGTGTACAGGTCATGTCCAGCAGACTCAACATGAGATACTGATAGAACACAGAAGCAGAATGTTCACGTGAACTGAAAAGCTACCAAGGAAGACCGAAGCAAGCCCCTAGCTTCACTCGCTCTCAGCTTGAAGATCACTCACCTGGCAGTCACAGCCAGGCACTACATCGCGAGTTTACTGCTAGCCTTGTTAGATAGCACCTCTATCGTGTGGGTTATGGGAACAGTTGCCTGGGTTACCGCCTAGGGACCAGACCGCCGCTTTTGCTGCTAACATTGACTCTTCTCTTGGGCCTACAGAAACGCAATGGGTGATGAAAATGGGATAAAAGGCATCTGTTTCTTCTTACTGTGTCCACCTCTGGGTCAGACACTACTCAGCCCTGCACCTAGACACGCTGATCATTTAGAAGCGTTCCTTCTTACGTCTGTAATGCAGGCTTCAGCTGGCCTGTTGCCCACTGGAGCTGCTATGTTTGATTTTTCTCCCAGCCTTCAATGTCAGGAGCTCCTAAAGTCCAAGTATTTGGCACCTCTCAGCCCCATCACAGGCCACACCACAGGGGGGAAATTTTGTGTGGATGATGGCACCAGCTACAGGAAGAGTCCACGCCTGTAAGTCAAGTTGGCTGTGACCACCAGCGGTCCACGTCTGTTACAAGAAGAAACATCTTTTGGAACTGTGCCCCTGGCCAGTGGAAGTCACCGGGCCATGCTAGCAAACCGAGAGAAACCTTCGCTCTGTGCTCCGAGCAGCACCTACTGAGCCTTTCGACCAGATGCTGACCCCCTTCAACCAGCGCTCCAGTGCGGCAGAAGCTGCCCTTCCCCGGGGATGTTCTGCTTGTGCAGAGAGCACACACAGACGTGTGGTATTTGGCCCAGTCTTGTGTCTGCATCTGGGTAAGAAGATCCTGCCATCCAGGACGACTTCTCACTCTGCTTTTTACATAGCCTTTTCCTTCTCAAGGGTCACACAGTGTTGCACTCTGTGGAGTGTCAAAGATAAACAGCTGGGCATTAAAGTGGTGGAAACCTTTTATTAAGTAATTCCTGACAAACTCTGCTCTGATCCACAGAATCAGACTGTTGACCGAGCACTTCAGTGGGAGGCGATGTGGGGTTTCCAAGTGACAGTGGCAGAGTTGGTCGGTCTCAAAGTGATGAGGCCAGCTGTGCCTGCCAGCTGCATGACGAAAGCGAGGACTCTGTCCTCCCAGAGATTTCTAGGGGAAGACATTTCAAAGGAATGGCCTTCAGGTCTTTGAGAAACACACCCCTGAGTTGTAGGAGACAGGTACATATCTCAAAGACAAGAAAGATTCCTTAGTAAATGCCCAGAGATTAGGGGCCTATCACTGGTGTCACAGTCCATTTTCTGTGGTTATAACCGAATGCCACAGATTGGGTAAGGTATAAAGAACAGAAGTTTAGTCAGGTGTGTTGGCATCGGCCTGTCATCTGAGCTACTTGGAAGGCTGAGGCAGGAGGATTACAAGTTTGGGGCCAGCCTTGGCAACTCAGCAAGACCTTCTCTCAAAAAGTAAAATAAAAAGAGCTGGTGATGTAGCTGAACACTTCCTGGGTTAAATTCCAATGAACCTCTCCCCACCAAAGTAGAGGTTTATCTAGCACCCAGTTCTGGAGGCCAGGAAGTCTGAGAGCAGGGTGCTGGCATCTGGTTGGCCTCCTGTAAAGGCCTTCCTGCTGGGTCACGGAGTCCTGGGGCGGCAGAGGGCACCTTGCGGTGAGACAGAGCGATATGGCCTGCAGGAGAGATCAGCTTTACAATAAGCCACTCGTGTGGCAGTGCAGAGGCCCACAGATGGCTTGGTTCACTCGCAGGGACAGCACCCTCAGGACCCAGGCGGGACCACAGTGGCGCCTCACAAATGCTCATCACAGCTTTCAGCGCGTGGACTGCGGGAGACACGGCCTAGCCGCCACGTCACGTTGTCTAAACAAGCAGTAAGTTCTTCAGTATTTTAATGGACACGGCTGCGAGCTGCTGGAAGCTGCGCTGGGGCGCTGGTCATCTCTCACCTAGCTCGGGGGTTCAGCAGGTCTTGGGATACACTCTGTTTAGTTCCTCTGTGGTTCCCACCTTCTTTCAGTATGGAGAATGGTGCTACTGTGAGCAGTCTCGGGCTTCCGGCTGTCATTCCCCCGTGCAAATGCTGCTGCTGGCTAAATTCTTAGAAGCAGGATTATGGAGGCAAAAACTGACATCTGAAAGACTTTCAATACTTCACACTTGGAAGATTACCCAACTGCCCTTCCAAGTGGCCAGACACGTCTCAAAGCCCCCTGATGACAAATGGAAATGCTCTGTTCCTGTCCTCCCCTCTGCGGCTGCATCTTTCTTGTCCCCCCCTGGTTCCTCGGAGCCTGCTTCTCCATGTGAAGCCGGGCAAGGAGAGTTAGAATAACGGGTGCTGTCTGCCGAGCTCCTCTCTCTGCTTTGCGTGATCCTCTCTTTAATCCTCCAGCACCTACAAGGCAGGACTCCTCATCCCTCTTCTGCTGAGGTGAGGATGGAGCTGGAATTGCGACTCTGGTCTCTCTGGCTCCCAGCAGCCCTCTGCCTGGAGCCGCCTTTGGAGGCTGAGCGCCATGCTGAGAGCTGTAGGGACGCCTACCCTGAGCGGGTGGGACGGCACTGTCACAGCGCTGCTGAGCACTGTGCTAACTGCCTGTTTGATGTCTTCACAGCTCAGAGGGCTGCTCTCCCACGGGGGGCCTGTCGCGGAAGAAGGCTTTCCTTCCTCCTTTAGGGACAGAAATGTCAGCTACTTCCCAGGGACTCCAGACCGCAGGCCACAGCCTCCCACAGAGGGCAGTGCAGGGAGGGTGGCGGCACTCACGGAAGCTTAGAGAAAATGTGTCCTGTGGGAAGGGGCGCACAGGTGGTGGGAGGCCCCGGGCCCTCTGGACCTGCCGGGTGCCCACAGAGAAGTCTGCTATTGCTTTCGCTTTAAACTCAAGACGAAAGCCCGGCCTGTGCCCTGTGCGTTCTGCCCTGGGCACCTTTTCCCTTTGACTTTTTTTTTTTTTTTTGGTTTTTTGGTTTTTCTCTGGTACCGGGAACCGAACTCACGACCTTGCGCTTGCCAGGCAGGCGCTTTGCCGCTGAGCTAAATCCCCAGCCTCCCTTTGACTTTAATGTGTCCGTTCTGTGTCATAAGCTGCAACCACGAGTGGCAACAGCTTCCCTCACCTTGGCAGGTCCGAGCCCCGCCCCGAGGGAGGCTGGAGACTGCCGGAACCTTTCTACAGCCCCCGTCTCCTCTGCACGCCCCGGAGTAGCTGCTCCTGTCTGCCCCGAGTGCTGGTGTGACACCAAGCTGCCTCGGGGCCTCAGCGACTATTTCCTTTTACAGGGCGGCCTCGTATACTTTTACATGGGCAGCATGGGGGCTGGAGCCCAGGGCCGCGTACATGCTGCGCGAGCGCTCTGGTGCTCGACCACGGAAGCCCGCCCTCATCCTGGTCTTTTTGAAACCCAACGTGCAACCTCTAGATTTCCTTGCAGTGAAAAGCACCACGGAGTCATCTGGATTTTGATGACCCGGAAGAAAAGGGCCTGAGGTAACTCGGCAGTGACACTTGCACACACAACTACACAGCTCAGCGCAAGCCCAGCCGCTCAGCGCGGGACCGAGCGGGGTGCACACGTGGGCAGCCGGGCGCCCTTAAACCTGCAACTAATGCGAGGCAGTCTTCAACCCGGTGTGTTCTGGACGGACATGAACTCTGCTGAGGCGATCTAAGAGTGAGGCAGGACGCGAAGGGCCCCTGCTCGCCCCCCCGAGCTCTGCCCTTAGGGAGTGCAGGGGTCAGAGGGCTTCCCCAGACCCCACTTAGCCCCCAGCCTTCCGGTCCTTCCTCCATCACTCTGCGCCAGCGTCCACCCCAAGTATCTGCTGCTGGCTGCTTGCAGGAATTGAGAGGCTGGGTCAGAGGGCTCCTGGGTTGACCAGTACTGGGCTAGACTTCCTCCTCCAGGGACACGCACGCCTGTGCTCAGCTCGGCTTGTGCTTCACCGTATGTGTAGTTTCCCCAAGAGCAAAGCAGGGCGGCCTGACCCTGGACCTGCCTCTTCGCACAAAGTTCTGTGGGGTCTTTTTACCAAAGCAGAGCGACAGCAGCCCAAGGGCACAGGCAGAGGGGGGACATTGGGCTCTGAGCCGGTCTGGGCCCCTCTCCCCACCTCCAGCATTGTCCACTTCCCTAAAACCAAGCCGAGCCAAACCGACCACATGAAGTTAAATTTAGTGGACTCCAGACATTTTTTTCTGGCAAATCTTCTGTAAAACCATATATAGTAAGCAAGCCAAATTTCTGATAGTTTTTTTAGGTTTATTATCAGTAACATGAACTTAAGAGAACAAAGGCTGATGCTGAGGTTTGGAAACAGAGGTTTCCAAACTGTTGAAGTTCGGTGTGAGTGCTTTTTTTTCTTTTGTTTTGTGGTCTGTCTTTTTGAGATGGTCTTGCTATGCAGTTCAGGCTGGCCTTGAACTCACTTTGTAGCCCAGGCTGGCCTCGAACTTGCAGCGATCCTCCTGCCTCAGCCTCTTGAATGCTGGGATTACTGTTGTGGGGCACATGTCTGGCCTGGCATGAGCGTTGTTTTAAAAAGTTAAAATATAAAATTACATTTCTTTCAAACAACAGCTTTGGAGCACAAGGGAGTGCTGCCGGGCTGGGTGACGCTGTGGCTCTCCGGGCTCTAGAGGTCACGTGTGGCGCCCACAGGCCTGCATCTGCGGCCACTCGTGACTCAGGACTCCCCAAGGTGCGGCGCAGCGAGCCCCTGCGCGTCTCTCCCCTCGGCTGCCTGCTCGCCTGGCCTCGCCTGTGCTTTCCGTCTCCTGGGTGGCGGGGGGCTTGCGTCTGGGTCCTGCTGCCCAGGTCCAGCCCTTGGCCGGTGCCTCAGACTCCTCGCCTGCGAATGAGCAGCGGCAGCTGCCCAGGTGACCCGGGGAAGGAAGCACACTGCCGAGGCTGGTGGCGCGGCCACAAAGACTGCAGAGGCCGGGTGGGGCTGCGTCAGCATCGTGGCTGACCCTCGGTGACAGCAGTTCTCCAGGGAGCATGAGGCAAAGCCAGGAGTTTGTTCCAGACTCTGGCTGCCCGGAGTGGGAAGCTGTGCTCTGCCCACCCGCCCCAGGGCTCCACGCCGTGGGAGGTTACTGCCCGCCAGGGTCCCCATCGCCGGAGAGGACACAGCACGCCCGGGGCAGCACGCCCATCTGTGGAGGGGATCCAAGTCGCTGCCTCACACCCGGCCGCCTCTGGCCAGCAGCCTGCTCCCGGCAGCCGGGCAGCCATGGCTCTCCAGTGTCCTCACCCGGTCACCAAGGCGCCCCACACAGAGCCAGGGACGCCCCGGCCTCACTGCCGGGTCAGCCTGCACCCAGCAACCCCCCCGGAGCAGCGGAGCGAGGGCCAGGCGACAGGGAGCCCCAGCCGCGCCCCTGCCTGTGCGTCAGGCACAACTGAAGGAGGGAGTGAGGCATCCCGTGGTGACGTTCGGAAGTGTCCCTTGATCCCAGGCCTGATTCATGGGCTTCAGTAGACCGGCCCATGAGGATAATGAGCTCTCAGTTAAGGAGGAAGGTTGGCCAGGACCCTAAATTCACATTCTCAGTAATTCTGCTCTATTTCCAAGGCTTTATTTATTTATTTATTTGGTTTTTGTTTTCTGGAACTGGGAATTGAACTCATGACCTCGCGCTTGCCAGGCAGGCGCTGTGCCGCTGAGCTAAATCCCCAGCCCCTCCATGGCTTTAAAATCTGTCTTTATGAATTTCTTAAAAAAAAAAAAATCATAATTAGAACTCACATTAATTCAATTTCTATAAATTGTATCTTGAATCACATTTGCTTCCTCAAAAAAACAAGAGGTGCCTATAAAAAGTTGCTCTAGCTCTTCCCGTTAAAGAAATAAAAGCCGGCACTGCGCGGCGGGCTGCACGGGCTGCCTGCTTCCCGCCCTCCGGCCGAGGCCAGCACAGCCAGCTGGCCCCACGTCAGGGCTGAATTTAGTTTCATGAGGAGCAGTAAAATTCACATGTTCTTTATTTAGTCCATATAATACACTTTTTAAAAGAGGTTTTAAAAAATTAGATAAAAGAGCATATTAAATGGCAAGTGTATGAAGCTTCTCTTCATAAACAATGTCAAAACAAAAAGTTCTGAATTACAAAATGTTAAAAAATATGTTGGTACTTAACATTTCACTAAAGCATAAAGTTACAGATATTTTCTAAAGAAAAATAATTGTGCCACTTCCCTATTTTTGCTGTTTCTATGAACTTTTTTATTCTGTACATAGGACATTTTGTACAAAATATGAAGTCTACATTTTTATTACTTATTACCATAAAACAAAGATACAATGTATGTACAATATTAAAAGGAAGCCATACTAAAGCCACACTAAAAAGACACTGGGAACTGTGACATTTCTGGTGTACAGATGCATTTGGAAAGAGTGAAGATGCCACGCAGGACTTTACGAAGAAAAACAGTCACCGGTTTATTTCAATGCAGTGCTGTTGGGATCAGCTTGGTACAGAGTAAACAGTGTCTCTCTATGATAATACGGAAGTCGAACAACCAGCACAGGAATCCGAGTCCTAAGGAAACTCTAATAGGCCAAAATAGTAAGTAATACTCTTGTCAAAGAAAATTAGTTTCTTTCAAAACTGTTTCTCCTTTTCCCTTATTGGTGAATGTTTGTCTTCAATAAAGAGCGGAAATAAAACCTAGACCGAAAGATGTTCTCACAGGTGGAGCGTTACACAGTTGCCCAGACACGGCCAGCTCGCTCTTCCGAGGGCGGAAGGGGTCTTCCCAGAAAGCCCCCTCCCCGACACACCGGACAGCCGGGTCAGGGGTATCGGAGACCCTACCAGCTAAGACGGAAGTTCAAACAATGGTATATCAAAATACAGAAGACGCTGCTTTGTACAATAAAAAGCACCCTTTTTCCCTCAAAAGGAGAAGGCATCTAGACATTTTTTAAATCATAGATTTCATAATGGTAAAACGGAGAGCTACTTGTCAAGTTTCTCAGGAAGTGTCCTTCTCACCAGTGGACTGACCGGTCCACTTCCGCTGGGCAATGCTTTCACTGAGTGCCTGCTCTTGCTCTCGCCACGGGCATCCCCTCCCCCGGGTGAGTTTCCTCCAAGGCACGAGGAAACAAGCGCGTTGTCGTCGCCAGTGCACGTGCGGGAGCCCCGGCGGCAGGCGCTGCGGCTGCACAAGGAGCAATGTCTGATTTTCACAATCTTTTCATGGATACCGAGACCACGAATAAAAACAGACTCTAGAGGAAGCCACGCTTTATCTCTTATGCATCAAGACATTTAACACTAAGTTATATATATGCCAGAGACGAAAGAAACTAGTCACTGTTTAGAAGAGCAGTACACATCTCAAGTAGCTTTCGAGCAGGATAAATAAGTCAAAATACTGGCCACCCTGAGAGAAACAAAGAGTAGACAAAGCACTAAGTGTAAAGGGTTTTCCCCTCGTGCTACTCCACCTAAAACGAAAGCTTAATCCATGCAAGAAGTCTGTGAGATATATAGCAGCATTTGAAGACCGATGAAACTCAGACACTGCTCTCCTTACGAGGTGGGCACTGTGCGCTCGCCCCCAGAATCCCGCGCCGCACCCCCCAGCTTCCTCGGTCGGCGCCCAGCGCCCGGCCCAGGGCCTGCACGGCTGTCTCTGCTACCTTACGCCCCAGCATCTGCGGTCTGCGTTAGGCCAAGAACCGGCTTAGCGCACAGTGCTCTTGCCCTAACCCTACAAGGTGTGGAATTCTCAGACTCTAATTCTCTTAATTTAGGAGTCTTGTTGCAGGGCAACAGCGTAAGTAGGTGAAAGTTGATTCTCGAATAAAAATATGAAACATAATTTTACAACTCCAATTCCAGTCAAGGTAGACAGAGAAAGCTTTTTAAAATAACTCCCTTCTCGGAGCTTACTCTTGGAATCCTGGTGCTGTACCGCAGACCTGGAAATATGGCTTTCGGTAGACGCAAGAGAAGCAGGACATGGCACACACACCACCAATCACAGTAAAGGACTCCTCGAGGGTACAGCGGTTGCTGATTGTCACGTCACTTCCCCAGAAGGCTGTGACAGTGTGAAAGCAAAGACCCATCTCTGTGAGATTAAAAAGCAGGCGTAACAATCATGTGGAAACAATTTCAAAGGTTGTAAAGTCTTAAAAAATAGGCAATACTTTTTAAAACTGTTCCTCTGATTTGAAAAACATTGATATTATCCTAGAATCACCTATTTTAAAGGATCACAACTTCCGTTTGGGTAGAACATGAAGGTGATGACGGGTGCTTTCCAGAGCTCTGACTCTGCGACGCTGTCTTACTCGGGCTGTGCTGAGGAGGGGAGGGCACGGTGAGAAGCCACCATTGTTTGAACTCCTAATCTGAGCTGAGACGGACACACGTTATTGCCTACAGAACGGGCTGGAGGAAGGCTGGACTCTGAGTGTAACGGATGGTATGGCACACACAGTATGGACTTTCTACAGAACCAGGAGAGCGCTGGCAGGCCCGGCCCCGCGCTCCGAGGCTAGCGCCCATCCTGCGAGGCCAGCTCGTCGGCTCTGCAGTGAGCTTCCAAGGCTTTCTTGGTGTGGGGGTCCTGAGGCAGCTCGGACTTGCGGCGCGCAAGAGGACGGTCCTTCTTCGGATCTTTCTGTGCCTGGAATTACAAATGCAATGGTGTTGGCTACCGACTAAACTATCTGAGCACCGAGCTCATTCTGAGCTAGAAGTCGGAGGCTCAGGCGGTGGACGGGCACCCCACACGCTAAGGCTTCAGGGGCTGCAGCCATCGGTGGGTTTCTCATCGTGGCCTTGCACCGGAATAGCTTGTCTACTAACACACCCCACTGACGAGTGTGAAGAGCTGTGAGTGCTGCTGGCTTGGCCTCTTGGTCTTCTCCAATGGGCGGAGTTTGCAGAATTCACCAGTTTTAGTAAACCCCACAAACACCTTCCTGCTTCCCACAGTGGTATCAAAGCTACCTTACCACCATCCATTACAAAAGCACTTCAGAAAGGAGACATTTCCCTTGGCAGGAAATTAAAACAATGAAAAATGTATTTAAACCAGATTTACATACACTTTAACCAGCAAGAGATCTAAAACTACTGAAATTTTTAAAAAGATTATTTAAAATAAGATGCATTAAATAGGTCAAGTCAGGGGAGAAGACCTTCTAGCACTGAGAAAAACTGAACTTAACTACGTAAATCAAAATTCCAGGTTTTAAGGGAAGAAATAAGACTCTCTTCCCTGTTTCATCCTCTTTGCGAAGTTTAGGAAACTCTGGTTTAATTCCAGTGGCCCCTTGCCTGCCAACTCGGCACGTCCCCGAGCGTGGCTGGGCTGGGACTCGGGCGTCCTCTGAAGGCTCAGGCTCCTCCCACAGCCTTCAGAGCCTCTCTCCTGCAGGCCGCAGTATCCTTAGGGGACACTGGCCCAGGATGTCTAAATTAACCCCATGCAGGAAAGGCTGTCGTAATGTTCCCTCCAGAACGCTCGAAGGGTTATTCTGCATCTGAGAGCATCTGGAAGCACACTGGCCCGCATTCCAGTTGTCACTCAAGACTTTGGCTGTAAGTGAAAACTGAAATTCCGGCCATAACCTAAGTTGTTCATATGCCCGACCGGTCCTAACTGGAGGGTCCACTGTACTTCCATTAAGTAATCCCATTTTTGCAGGAGGATTTAGATAATGGCACCTGCAGTGAAAAGGGAGCCTGAGCACCCATTTTCACGAGCAAACAGGTGACAGCTTTACAGGCAGCCACTGCATGAATGCCACTATTTTTAAAACAAGAAACCATCCAAATCATCCAGACAGAATATACATGCCAGGAGATGATTGTCCATTATTTAGCCATCTTTTTGATTCCAAGTTCCTTTCATTCTGTTAGTGCCTCCATCAAAGTGAAGACAGTATTAAAGAAAATAAGGCCAGGCACGGTGGCACGTACCTGTAATTCCAGCACTTGGGAGGCTGAGACAGGAGGATTGCCACAAGTTCAAGGCCAGCCTGGATTACAAAGTGATTTCAAGACCAGCCTGAACTAAACAGTAAGACCTTAACCCTGCCTTTTTTTTGAAACATCATCAAACAAATAAGCAAACAAAAAACTCAAAACCAACAAGCAAATCCTAAAGAAAATAAATTGCTTTTGTGGTACATCTACTGGAAAAAATTTGAAATGAATCATTTGACAACACATAAACTCAAGTGTAACAACTTCTCAGAGATTCCAGATCTTTGACTTGGGCATGGTGTAAAAAATGTGCTTTTCTTTGCTGTAATGAAAAATTTAAGGACTTGCATAAATCATAAATGAAAAGCCCACATTTTTGCAGAGCTGTTTTTTTTTTTTAAAGCAGGGTTCACTGCAAAGTTATCTATGGAAACAACAAAAACATTAAGGCTTAAAAAGAATCTTGTGTGATAACATTCTAGGATCACTTTCAGAAATGTGCTTCAACACTACGATTCAGAGTGTGTGTGTGTGTGTGTGTGTGTGTGTGTGTGTATGTGTGTGTGTGTGTGTGTGTGTGTGTGTGTGTAAGACAGGGTCTTGCTATGTAGCCCAGGCTGGCCTTGAACTTGCAGTGATCTTTCTGCCTCAGCCTCCTGAGTGCTGGGATTACAAGCACACTCAGTTCTGTTCATCATGTAAAGGCAGGGCTTTGGTTTCTTTCCCTGGAAGCCACCTCAGGAGATGGTGAAGGGCCACAAGACCTCTCTAACTGTTTGTCGCCAGTCACTGTACTCATAAGAGCGCTTCAGGTTGGTCTTCAACCCATCAGAAACTCAGAGGTGAAACTCTACCCTGAATTTTACTACCACTGTATGCAGATCTCTCAAATAAAACAAAAGAAATTCAGGTTTTAAAAATTTTTACAATGATTTCCTTTTTAAAAATTTTTAAAATTTCTGTTGTTGTTTGAGACAGGGTCTTGCTATGCAGTTCAGGCTGACCATGAACTTACTATGTAGCCTGAGGCTGGCCTTGAACGCACGGCGATCCTCCTGCCTCAGCCTCCCAAGTGCTGGGATTATAGGCGTGCACCACCACTCTGGCTAAACCCAGGATTTTTATATACATGAAACACGTAATTACCATCGAAACAGGCACTACAAAGAATAAACACTTTCACAGAGGAAGGCAGTAATCAAACCCTTGGAGCTCGACCCAACAAAGACAAGTGAGAAAACCCACTTGACCCAGAGCTTGAGGAAGGGCAGAAAGCCGAGGACACGGCTGGACACTTCCCTTGGTGTGGGAGGGACAGTAACTGCCAGATCACACGAGGACACAGGTGACACACCGGGGGTGGGGGAGAATGAGGCGTCATGCAGGTGGTCAGCCTGGTGGGGCAGCGGTGGAGGGGAGGCCGGCCGGCATGCAGTGTGGGGACACAGCGGGGCGGGGACGAGCGAGGCCTGAGCCGCCTCTGCAGAGGACAGGTGCGGGGTGGCCTGGGCCGAGCGGCAGGTGTGAAGGTGAGGCTCCCTGCCGGGGGTAGCGGCAGGGGACCCACAGGGCCAGGCAGAGGTGACTCTGTGATGGTGTTCCTGCTCATGATTCAAACTTAAGTACTTAATTTGGGGCAGCACGCATCCAGATTTCTTGAGGGACCCCATTTCCTGCCCCCTGTCCCGACCATCACACGCGGAGTGACGTGAGAAGGGAAAATACTTCATGTGCGCAGGGTGACGTGCCAGCGCCGTGCGTCCGCACAAGCTTACGCGCGCTCTGCGCACGCAGGGGCGAGTACCTGCGCTGCCACCTTCCGTCTCCTACAACCTCCTCACTTGCGTGGGTGACACTGCTTTTCTCCCGACCAACTGTCAAAAATGAGAATTGTAAACATTTTAAGCGTCTCCGATGGCACATCACTCGTATCAAACTTACTCATTTTCTTTGGATGTTCTATACAAAGTTACACGAGTTTCTCAGGGAATCTGGGCAGGGGCTCTGACTTATGGCAAACCCATGGAATTTCTCCAGCGGCGCTGGACCGAGTACCTTCCCCGGCACGGGGCCGCCTGTGCCCGCTCCTGCAGTTCCGCCACTCACCTCTCACCCTGTCTCCACCCCGCCTCAAACCCGTTTAAAGGAATGTGTGACTGTCCTAGGAGAATAAAGTTAGCTGAAAATACTCAAATTACTAAATATCCAAGTTGAACAGCTTGACTTTTAGCTATGACTTACGTCAGGTCAGCTATCGAATTGTGGATACATTTTTCCTGCAGCTTGGAATCTTTTTTGCTGTAGCAACATTGTTTCTGAGACATTCAGAAAGATGATTCCAAGCATGTCCAAATTAAAGAGTATACCATTCAAATATTGTACTTAACAATACACACTTCATCATTATCCTCATCTATAGATGCTGAAATGCAGCTGAATTTAATCGATTCAATGAATCAGGTAACCCATAGAAATCTCTAAGTCTTGATACTGGATAATGTCAGTCCTCCAATTCTCTTCTTTTTTCAGTTATTTTGGCTACTCTAGTTCTCCTGGAATTCCACAGGAACTTGAGAATCAGCTTGCCTCTCTTCCTTCCTCCCTCCTTTTTCTTACTCTTTCTTTTTCTTTTTCTTTCTTTCTTTCTTTCTTTCTTTCTTTCTTTCTTTCTTTCTTTCTTTCTTTTTTCTTTCTTTCTTTCTCTTTCTTTCTTTTTCTCCCCCCCCCTCTGTCTCTCTCTCCCTGTCTCTCTCTCTCTCTCTCTCTCTCTCTCTCTCTTTCTTTTTTTGAGACAGGGTCTCGCTATGTACTTCAGGCTGGCCTTAAATTCATAGTGATCCTCCTGCCTCAGCCTTCTGAGTGCTAGGATTATAGGCATGCGCTACCACGCCTAGCCAGTCTGCCAGTTTTGAGAGAGACAGAGAGAGAGGGAGAGAGGGAGAGAGGGGGAAAGAGAGGGAGAGACAGAGAGAGACACAGAGATAGACAGAGACAGAGAGAGTGCGAGCTGGTATTCTAACAGTGACTGTGTTAATTTGGGGACAAATGACTTCTCCTTGGCCGAGTCTTCCCCCTCAGGTATACATTCCAACTCAGGAACATGATCCACAGAAATCTATAGGGAAGGTGAGAATACCAAGTACAGATAACTGGGTTATAGAACCCAATTTTAGGAAGTACAAAAACATGCCATAGGATTTCTCCCAGAAATATCCTGTTCACACCTCTGCTTTGAACTAGGTGGGCAGACAACTGCAGGGCCAGTTCCTTCCGAAGCCCCGCAGGTGCCTTCCCAGAAGGGCACTTGTTCTGCTAAGGGCAGTGGCCCCCAGCGTCCAGATGGGAGGGCCGCACTGCACTGGACAGCTACAAACACTGGAGCCCGCTGTGTCTCTGGCACTGAGGGTTGAGCCCAGCGCTTTGTGAAGGCCAGTCAAGTGCTCCAGCACTGAGCCTCACCCACAGCCCTTTACAAATAGTTTTACTTTGAGACATGATCTTGCTACGTTGCCTCAACCTTCTGAGTAGCTGCAATTACAGGTGTGCGCCACTACGCCTCGCCCACCCCCTCTCAAGGGGCTTTGACTCAAGACAAGAATGCTATTTTGGTCTGTGTTCCTGATCAGGTTCTTGATCTATTATAGAACAGGAAGTAAATGGGAAATATATCTCAGCTTCATTCCATTTTTGGGCACAGTTTATGCTTTTTCTAACTTGAATTTTGACCTAAGTTGAAGAATGTAACAAAAAAAAATTCCCAACCTTCAAATATTTAATGTGTGAAGAACAGGTTGTAAACCATCAACTTCCTTTCAGTTTTGTGTGGCCCAAGTATTTTAGCATGAACGTGAGGTGACAAATCCCAGGCATGCTTCTCTGCAGAGGAGACAGCATTCGGATTTGCTTCTGAGTTGCGATACACGATTCCCTTAAATCAGCGCAACAGATTTTAAAAGCCCTCTCTATGTAACTGCACTTCTAATGACACCAGTACCTATAATCCACAGGTAAAAGGTACACAGTCAGGGGTAGTTTCAGCCAATTCACTTTTCACCTTGCAGAATTTTAGTTCTGGTTATAGTCGGGAATTCTTTCCCAGGTCAAAAAGGGTTAGAGTTTGTATGTGAGAAAAGCCAGCACCCACTTGGGACTGTGTCTGTCTCCAGGTACCGGAAGCTGGGAGAAACCCAGCGGGGCAACCGCAGCAGCTCCAGCCTGCCTGGAGGAGCCTATCTCCGCGGGTCCCACTCAGGAGGAACAGGCTGTCCTGGGACGAGGCTAACGGTTCACTCCTACAACAGTGGAAATGGCTCCAGACTGGGCCGCGCCCGTGATCCGCCTGCAGAGCCCCGGCCTGCCACAGGCCCAGGTCCGGCGGGGGGGGGGGGCAGGGGTGTGCGTTAGCAGCAGCTCTGGAGAGCTGAAGGGAATGTCTCTGCACCAGTGTGGAAATGGGAGGGGTGCAGGGAAAAGCAAGATGTTACCGCTGTGGCTTAGGCTTTGGCTCAAGTTAACATTTAAAGAACAGGACAAGGTTGAGGTTATTATCGTTAAATGAAGAAACAAATCTGTGGGCACATACTTATCAATAAAAATCATTTCTAGTAACTTGATCACTGAGATGTGTAGATAGACTGTTTCCTGAAAGACTACCAAAACTTAACCTTAGCTTAAACACAGGGCACCAGCACCCGCGAGGTTCCTACAGAGCGCACGCGCTCAGGCGGCCCTGCCGTGGGCTCCCGCCGGCGCAGTGTGCGGTTACCTGAGCAGCCTCGACGCTCACTGTCTTTCTCAGCATCTGCACATCTTCAAACAGAGGCCCCTCTGTCTCCATTGCCACCGGCAAGCTCACGGTGCTGGCTTGACTATACACTGTGTACTGCAATGCAAAGTGTGGAGTCACTGTCTGTCTGTAGCGCTCGGCTCTGCACTCTGGGGCGCTCCTCCTGCCAGGGGACGTGTCTTCCCCGTCGCCCTCCCCCGGGCCCTCTGTGCAGGAAGCCCACGTGGGCTTACACTTTGGGCAGTTTATGCCATATTTTTCTAGCCTGAATTTTGACCTAAGTCCACAATGCAGTCTGCAGACTCCTCGGCCAGCCACACACCAGAAACCTGACTGCCCACCTGCAGCCTGGGCACGGGCCTGGCCTCCTGCGGGCCCCACGGTCCCGGCCTGAGTCCCTGCGTCTGACAGACAGCTGGCCTGTGCCCGCCCAGTCTCCCACGTTCCCGCTCCACAGGAGCCCACGCTGAGCAGCAGGCGGGCTGGGCCTTCACGTCTCACGTCTGTGCCCTGCTCCCGCCTGCAGACCTCTGCCATCTCCCCCTGCACTCTCCAAGGCCACTCTGTGGAGGCGGCGGGCCCGCACGTCCCACTTTCTCAGCATCTCCCTAACTTGTCTAAGCCTTTTCGCCAGGTCGGTAGAATCTCCTCACCCCCAAGGCAAATCTGACCTGGACTAGACCTTGGGCCCCGCCCTGCCCTGCCCTGCCCTGCCCTGCCCCCGCCGCTGGCAGGGCTGCTGCTCATCAGGACCACTCTGTTTGGAGCCCGCTTCCCCTGCTTCGCTCTCCGCTCTCCCCGGCTCCAGGAGGGCCGGGCCGGTGGGAACCGCAGCCCACAGGCTTTCTACTTCTACGAGCAGAGAGGAGAGGTGTGGTGACACAGGCTCTGGGTCAGGTACTTTCAGGTCTCCTGTGTGGCTGGGACAGGCAGGGAAGGAGCCCGAGTGCCTGCTGTGGTTGGAGCCGTGCTCAGTGCTCCCTCCTCTGCGACAAACGGTGCTGTGCAGGCGCCAGGAGGCCCCAAGTGTGACGGGCGAGGCACCGTGCCGGCGGTCCCAGGCAGCAGGAAGGGAAGCCAGGACCCAGCCCGGGCCTTGGCAGCAGCGCCCCCGCCCCATGCACAAGTCTCTCCAGCCCGGACGGCACCTTAGCTGTGGCCCCTTCTCCTGGTCACTGGGCTCCTCTGTCTGGTTTCCGGCCCCGGCCCCCATGCAGCCACTGGGCCTGGCCTACCCACTGCCTCGCTAACGTTGCACCACACTTAGCTTTATCCTCTGGGCCTCCTGCGGCAGGGCACACCTGCCGCCATGCCCCTGCCTCCTCTCTTCCTTCTGAGGCGTGTCTCAGGCCCCTTTCTCCTCCGCCTGTCCCTGCGACAACAGGCGGCTGCTGTCTCTGAGGCTCTCAGCAGCCCGTGGCTCGAGCCCTCCCTGTTCATCCCTGGGAACCTGCTTGAAGCCAGGCCTGCGTGGCTGTCCACATCTTTCCAAATCTTTGGAAACGGGCCACTCCCTCGCTGCAGCCAGCTTCGGGGCTGTTTCTTTTTCCACCACCAACGGGCCCTGGTCTGCTGGTGCCGCTGCTCCCCCAAGCACCCCCCTCTCCTCCAGGAGGCTCCTCTGGACCTGGCCCACCCCGGCACATCCTGCCTGCTGCCTCTGGAAGGGCCTCAGGAAACCACGTCTATTTGGGGCACTTTCTCTGGCCGGCTCTTTCACGCTTTTGGGGAAAGGTCCAACCCTGTTCCCTCTACAGCCTCAACTTAGCACAGACCTCATCCTTCCCATGACTGGCACCCTTCAGTCTCAACCCCGGGAGGTTTCTGTCTCCTCTGCCTGGGCCTCGCCCTATACACAGATGGCCCTGCCCTGCGCTGGGCTGGCCCTGCCACGCTGGCTCTTCACTGTGGCTGTCCCACACCCGCACCTTTGTTTGTGTGCCTCTAAACCCACGCACTGCGCCTACCGCTGCCATCCCTAGCGCACCTGTGTGTTACAGCGTTCCCTTGGGCTCCCCAGTGGACCTGCGTCTTGCTGTCCTCTTTACTTCCTTGGAAATTTCCACAATTCAGGACCCCCGGCACCTTGCCCTGGGCGGCCCACAGTGAGAAGGTGCTGGGGATGGTTTTGAGTCATTTTGGCTGCTCCAAGAAAAAGCCAGCAGGCCCCAAGCAAGGGCGCGTACAGCATTCACAGCAAACTACGCACACACAGGCATGGCAGGAGGGGGCCTCTTAGGAGAAATATGGGCCTTCACCGAAGCAGAGACGCTCCAAGGAAGGGACCAGAATCCCCACGCCACCCCCGGCCACGGCTGCACCTAACTGAAGTCACAGCAGTGCTTTCTTCAGTCACGCGGCTCGCGTCAAAGTCAGGGGAAACAGCTGCTGAGGTGTTATATGGCTTCTCGGGGTGTGTTAGGAAAAACCTGTCCAGGTGAGAGACCTTCCATGTCTTAGGATTTCAGAAAATTAAATTGTGTGTGACACCGAAAGATCACAATGAAGCTGCTACCACTGCTAAAACAAGCACGACAAGACCCTGAAGCCACCGCCGTTTCCTGAGTGTCAATAGCCTGGCGGCGCGCGCCGTGTCCCCGGCACAGGAGACGTGTGGTCTGTGACAGCCAGGACGCGCGTCAGGACGGCTGCTGAGAAAGCAGCGCGCAGCGGGTGCCCGGGAACCTCTCTACCTCCAGGAAATGCCGCCTGCAGGCCAACTCCAACAGGGCACACGCGGGCTGGCAGCAAGCTCCAAGCCCAGCGACTGCGTCCCGCGGCTGAGGCCCACACTGCCTCCCCCGACCTATGCCTCCCCCAGACGTACGGCTACTGTGGCTGCAGCTCAAGCAGTGATGAGACTTGGGACAGCTTCTCTCAGGAGATGAAAAGCAAGTTCTCAGGCCCATTTCCAGCTCTGAGGCGCTAACCCATGAAGTATTTTCCATTTGCAGACACCGTGCAGGGAGCCAGGGGGTGCGGACAGGACTTGGGGGACGTCACAGAGGGTTCAACACAGAGACGGGAGTGAGGGCAGGGAGGGAGGCCACCAGCACGCCAATGCCACGCCCACACAGTCGCGGCCTCATCACAGTGTAAGGAGCGACCAACGGGAAGAAACATGGTTCCCTGAGCGGACTCAGCAGAAGAGAACAACGCACGATCAGAGGGCAAGCTGCCGCCGTCGGCAGGGACGCCAGGCCACAGGCCACACAGCCCGCTCGACGGCCAGCCCTTCCTCAGCCGCACGGTCAGACTTTCAGGCAACTTGTTTTCCGAGAATCAAAGACACACAGTTGAGAATGTCATTCAACTTCCCTATGGTTTACATCTCTTGATTATAGTTTTAGCAACAAGAATACCAGCCAAATGCAGTTATATAGGTAATGTATACTGCAGACTGTTAATTTTATATTCATATAGTACTTTTATTAAATGTCAGAGATAAAAAAACCCCTATATCCCAAACTTAGATATTTATGTACACCGCTCACCACAGAAGTAACTGTCTAGTGCATTATTTTCTTCTCTGGTAGGGTGAGGAAAGCCTGAGACTTCTCAGTGCGTTAAAGGTTTACCCCAGGGACTGTCATTAAGAGGCACTGTCGTAACCAGGCACCGACACATACGTAACAGTGCTCTGGTCATTAGACTCATAAACCCGAAAGCCCACAGCAGCCCGGGGCCAGCCTGAGCTGCTTCCGGGCAGTGACTGGACCGGCCAGCTCGCTGGCAGCTTTGGAGGTGCGACCAGCTGCAGCGTGCTGCACAGACCTGCCAGGGTGGAAGAAGGGTTAGTACCAGCGGAGAATTCAGCTAATACTTTACAAGTGGAGCCTACGGAAACCAAATTTCAGGAAAGAGGACATCAACTTCATCTATTTAAAACTGCATTTCTTTTCTTTTAGAACTTGATATTAAAAGGCAAAGGAAACGCGGCTTTACTATGGTACCCAAGACACTTGAGAAAGAAAGCAAATCACAGTTTTAGAGAGGTTATATCTCCGTTTCCTTTCCACCACAGTATTTTTAAGATTACTGTCTTATTATTATTTTTTTGGTACCGGGAATTGAACTCAGGACCTTGCGTTTGCCAAGTAGGCGCTTGTGCCACTGAGCTATATCCCCAGCTCCGATTAGTGTCTTATTTAAAAAGCAGACAAAAAACCCCATCAATTCTGTGTTAAAAATGTGGGGTTAAAAAAAGTACTTGTATAAGAAGAGAGTTACAAAGTTGAAAAATATTCTTTTACTACAGACATTCTCATATACAGTCTGAGTGAAATTGATCTCCCCTGTCCCCTGGTGGGGCCATACTCCTGTCCTACCAGACACTCAAGCAACACCCTTGACATTTCACGTCACTCTGTTTTCAGTACCTGGGGATTCGCTTTGGCTAGATTTTCTATTTTAACCCATGCTTCTTCTCGTTCTTTCATTTTTAGCTTCTCTCTGAAAAACAGTAACATGTCATTGGTGTTAGAGAGGAGTCATGTGCAAGGGGGCGTGCAGGGGGCCCAGACCCGCTCGGGCCTGTCCCTGCTCCGTCACCTCCCGGCAGCTGCACATGTGTCACGGTGCCGCTCACAGTGGGTGCAGTGTGAGAAAGGAACCAAGAACTGGCCAAGGGTCAGAGAAAAGGGTTTAAAAAAGTAAAAATCCTAAACATTTAGCAAGTCTTGTTAAAAAATTTTACACAAGTGAATTTTGCTTCTAGTTGATTATTTGCTTCTTCACAGATAATTTTGTTTTTTAGCTTTTAAAATTATTTCTAAAATTAAGTTTATTGGTACATTTTAGATATAGATAATGACCACATTCACCACAGGGAATTTGCACCTGTACCTGCTATATCTTGCTTTTTCCCCTTTCCCTCACCTCCCTTCGACTCCTCATAGAACCTTTGTTTCCACTTTTCCTTCTCTTCTCTTTTCCTTTTCCCTTCCTTCCTTCCCCGCCCTGTTCCCCACCCACTTGGCCGTTTTCTTCCAGCTTCACAGTATCTATGAATGATGTCTCTGTCAGGGACGCTGTGCCTGGACACCTGGGCTCTCCCGGCAGAGGGGCTCTAAGTCCTCGAGGACACAAGAGCAGGGCCTGACCTTGCCCATCTGGCCAGGCGCAGACTCGACCCCCACAGAGCCGCGTTTACAGAGCTTGTGCAGGCGGAACCCACGCTGAAGTGCAGGTTCGCACCCTAAGTCACGGCACACGGTCACCTCTACATGTCCCCAAGAAGAGCACAGTCCCGAGTGTTTGGCTCTTGATCTCACACATTTGCCAAGAGGACTGAACTCATAATGGCAGGGAGGGACTGCTAACTTAGCCACGTGCTCTTTGAAAACAGCTTGCGATGACTAAGTTTCAATTTGCTCTCCAGGGACGACAGGACCACTTTGGCTTTAAAGTGAAGAACAGATTTTTAGGACAACTCAAGATAAAGGAAAAACACCCCTAAAAATAATAATAACTTGTAAAAAGATCAACTTACCTCAGTTTCTCTGCTTTAAACTGTTGGGTGCAGTCATCAAATAGTTTTTGGTTCATTTCCATGAAGAGCTTCAGGGCGTTGTATATCAAGCCGTGTATTGTCCTGCAAGGAAGCCCAGCAGTGAGACTCGGACCTGGGCTCTTTGCCCCTTGCCCTCCCCTCTGCCACAATCCCCTTCCTCTCCAAACTCTTTCGGCTACTTCATTCTCAAAGCCCTGTAGGACGCCTGCCTGGCGAGCACAAGGTCCTGGGTTCAATTCCTGGTACAAAAAAAGCCATATATTCCACTAGTTCCCTTGGCTAAGTGTGTGTGTGTGTGTGTGTGTGTGTTTGTGTGTGCGCATGTGCACATGCATGCACCTGTGCACACATATGTTTGTGATACTGAGGATGGAACCTAGGCCCTTGCACATTGCTAGGTAAGTGCTCTACCACTGAGCTGCATCCCCAAACCTTTTATTAAACTTTATTTTGAGATGAGGTGTTACCCAGGCTCGACTCAAACCTATATTCTCCTGCCTCAGCTTCCTGAGGAGCTGGGATTACAGGCCATTTCTATTTTTCTGGAGTCAGCCACAAAATTCAGTAGGCTTTTGTCAGGCTACTTTGAGTTCACTGTCCTGGGTAGTATCAGTCAGTCGCCACTTTGCTTACAAACTGAATAAAACAATGCTGAAGCTTGAACAAATACCATTAAGGCTGAATTATATACAGGACATTAATAGAAACACTGTCTCCCTTATAAATGCGAGTTTCCTTTCATTTACTCACTGAGGGCAGGAAAGTTACTTCTAGTGACTAGGGATGTGTCGCAATGGTATAGGACTCGCTTAGCATGTGTGAGGCCTTGGGTTTGATTCCCAATCAAATCATTTTTGATTGTGAAAAATGAAACAAAGCAAAACAAAACAAACAAGCCCTAAGCCAACAAAAACCCAAATAATACCACAGCAGAGTCTTGGAAGGTAACGAATACAATGATGAAAAACCAGCTCAGTCAAAAGCTAGCTCTCTGACAGCACATGTCCTGAGCAGTCTGGGTCTGACTTCTGGCTTCTCCAGGTACCGGCTCCATGTCCTTAGAAAAAGTCCTTCATTCCCATAAAACGGGGAGACCGAGAGTAGCTGCCTTGTAAGATGTGAGCACCACACATGCTGATATACGTAAAAGTGCCTAGACTATTGCTTGACATGTGCTGCCACAGGATTTAATAAAATTTGGTAAATACATAACTTATTTCTTAAAAAAAACCAAAAAAACAAAACCTAAAAAACCAAACCCCAAACTAGCTGCCTGGCTCGTGGCACACAGAGAGGGAGAGGCCCTGCAGCCTTAGGGGCCCTGGACCCGGCGGCCACCTGGCCACACGTGAGCGCGAGAGAGGCAGAGCCCAGCCCACCCGCACGGTTTGACAACAACGCGACAGCAGTGAAGAGATAAGCACAGAAAACCCAGAGGACTTTACTCTTAGCAACAACAGGGGCTGGAAGCCAGGGACAGCGGTGTGTCCCCATCATGCTGCACACACTGCATGACACTGAGGAAGCACAACCCAACTGTCACACCTGCTGGGTTCACCCAAATCCCAGACCGTGGCGAAGGAAGCGCTACTGGAAGCTGATGCTATCAGCCGCTCCACCGCACCAGCCACGAGGGCAGCGCGGCTCCCACTGGGCCAGCACCGTGGCTAGCCCTGCACTCTGAAGCCGGCACTTTAATAGCCTTAATACATTAGCTTTAATTCATCTTCAGGCTAGCTGACAGCGGCGGTAAAGCAAAGCCCCTTGTCTACATACTAACGTTACCCTAAGCCACCAGTGCAGTGCTGTGGTGGGTGCTGCGTCTTTTGTCTCCAGAGGCGACGAGTGGCTGGGGAAGGTCTGGAGCCTGCCCTGCCCAGGTGCGCAGCCACCCGAGCCAAGCCTGCCCACCTCCGACCTGCCCCGTTTCTGTGCTCCTGGCGTCCCACGCTCTGGGCCCTCTCTGGGCCCCTGGCTGTGACCGGGCTTGCTCTGCTCGAGCGACAGGCAGGAGAAGAGCCCTTGCCGTTGCCACGCGGCGTCCTTGGGGAGGAAGCAGGCGGCCTGCAGCTCAGGCAGGCAGGGCGGAGGCGCTGTCTCTCCCAGTCCTCTTGCCTGTTTGGGAGCAGGAGCAGGGCTACACGCCACAGCTCTGCCTGTCCTGCTCTCAGTTCTCGTTATGATGGAAAACACGCATTTAAAAAGTTCAGTATTAAACACGGCCTGACAACCATTGAGAACAGTCAGTGAAGATCCAATTGGTCACTCACCAATTGTAGACATTATGTAAAACAACAGCCATTGATAATTTCCTACCACTTTGTCTGTAATTCGGTAAGCCTCCCTATTACTACATTATCTTTCTTTTACTCTTTAAAATAATTTAAAAAAAAGGAGAGAAAAAAAAAAAAGACAAAACCAAAAACCAAAAACCCCCCGAAACATGGCCCGGCACCCACAGGGAGGCTTTCCTTTCCAGGCCTTGGAGGGCGGGTGGGTGAGCCCTCGCCAGCCGTCTTAGGTGGAGAGGGGGACAGAAGAGCACGGCCACTCCCCAGGTGTGCCTTGTCGCGGCTCGGCCCTCCTGTCCTCCAGGCAGTGCCCACAGCCGGGCGGCCCTTTGGCCTCCCACGGGCTCCCAGGACGTGTCGCAGGGCTCAGGGACTGGGTAAGAATCCGTGGGGGCCCCTGTGGCTCTGCCGAGGCCGAGCCCCACGAGCTCTGCGGTGACCTCTGGCTCCCTAGGGCCTGAGGAGAGGCCCGGAAGGCGGTGCAGAGCAGTGGGCCTCTGTGTGGCCTGGTAACAGTGTGGGGAGGCAAAACAAAGGGCCACAGGTGCAGTCATACTGCTACTTGAAAATCCGAAAGAAAGCAGAGTTATTTAGAAACGGGAATTATTCAAATATTAAAATTTGAATTTTAATTCTGATTAACACTAACAGCAAAACATGCAACCGCCACAAATAACCAGGAAGGGCAGCTCGTTCTCTCTTACTTGTTCCAATGCGTCTTGGAGTTGCGGTACAGGGACGGGAACATGATGGGCAGGATCTTCGCTGCGTTGTCACTGATTAAGCTCATAATGTATTCGTTGTTCCAGTAGTACAGCGCTCGCTCTGCCACCTATAAGACAGGACACTGCTGAGCATGAGAGGTGCCGCTTCGCAGTGGCCTCACTGTGAGCCCGCAAACGGGGTACCTAGACCATGCCCGAAGGTAACGGTCGTTTCTGTGAATTCAGACTATTTAGACTGTAACCTTAAGAGGCAGCAGATAACTTCTTCCACATCGAGAAATCAAGATCATCATCATTTATTTGGCTGTCCCACAAACATTCACGCTCGACACCGGGCTGGATGGTAGGGACACAAGCCCTCCACCCAGCACCGGCACAGCCCGTCCACGAGGTCTCAGTGTGAGAGTCGGGGCCCTGAGTGAGGCAGGCGGCCTGCGATTTACTAGAAACTCTAAGTCCTGCAAGAGGCAGCGCACGCTGTGGGACGTGCGGCTTCCGTGCGGAGCCAGGCCCGCAACCTCTGGGAGGACACAGGAGCAGCCGGCTGGGGCGGGCGAGGCCACACCCCAGGCCGCGGGCAGGCCTCACTGGAGAGACGCAAGTGTGAGAGGCGCCCTCGCTCGTCCCTGAGCCGCAACACAGAGCTGCAGGACCAGAGTCCCAGGCCCACAGTCCTCTGCCAGGATGCACACTGCCGGCCTCGCCCCCACGGGCGCGGCCACCACAGGGGCGGGCAGAGCGGCTCCTCGCCTCCCACCCCGCGGCTGCACTAGCCCTCGGCCCGGCCCTCGGGACGCAGAGCACAGCAGGACGGTGCTTCTGCTACCAGCGGTCTACAGACTCAGCGATCAGGAGGCAGGGGTGCCGGAGGGGCCGAGAGAGGCGGAGCATGCGGGGCCTGAGGATGCAGCTCGAGGCAGAAGGAGGGCATTAGCGGCTTCTGGGATAATCACTCAAAGTGTTTTCTGTACTTTCAAAAAGCACGATCCAGGCACCTATAAACGCATGTGGAGGAGACATTTTAACCTTGAACTAGAAAACAGAAGCCCAAGACGCTTGGCGGCCTGAGTTTTGAATTCTGCCTCCGTTTTTCTCACATCGGCAGTTTCTTTTGCTGGGAAAGTCAGGAGCGCTCTGGCCTCGGGTGCGCTCCTGGGAGTTCGGGAACGTGCCTGATGCCCAGCCGCTGTCCCAAGCAGCAGAAGCCAGCACCCACCGCACGCTGCGGAGGCCTCGAGGGAAGGGCGAGGCGGCCCAGCAGTGCCGCAGGGGGCGCGGGCTCCCCGCGGGCTCGCACGCAGCGCGG